ATCGGCTTCGCTGAATTATTGCTAACTTTTGTATTTGCAAAGTGCCATTTTCGACACTGGATGCGGAGAAATGTAAATTCACACCCCGCAAAAATGTGGCTCGAGCTTTAGCCTTTGAGACGGACTTTAGTAAACGGTGTAATTGGAGTCCCTTTGAAAGCAGTCATTAGGCTCTGGTACATTAATGCTATGCTATCTCTGTCTAATATCTCGCCCCCCACACTTTCTGAAATCACGTGCCCTGACCCTGGAGTCATTTAGAGGTCATGTGTGTTTGCTTGTCTGTTTTTTATATCTCCCCCCCCCGTATTATTTTAAATACATAAATACAAGGCCTCTTAGCTCCAGAAACATTTTAGATTCCTTAAACTGCTTCATGGTTTTTAAATGCTGCAGAAATATTATTACAACAATCAACACAAATTACAAATATATTTAGAAAATGTTTTTGTGGCACTTAGGTTTATTCTCACTCTCGGTGAGATTTATTTTTATTGTGATTGGATTAGTTCTTTCAGTGTATTTGACTGGATTTGTTTGTTTCGTACAAGCTACAAACTTGATACTCCAATACTGAAAAGTAAGGCACTGGATAATAGAAAGTAAATGCTTTTAACTTACCTTTCTATTAATCTTACAAATATAAAGACCTACAATTTCAATATTATTGTATGCATATGAATGCATGCATATTAAAAATGTGTCTGTTAGTGGTCTTAATTAGTGACATGATAGGAGTGGTAGTCTAAGGATATAGCTGATAGCTAATCTTTAATCATGTTATTACCATGAATTGTCGTGTTTAAGTATGCCGTTATTAAATTGTATTTGGCATATTAGTGTACTGTTCCTCCTAAGTTCTTAAGAACAGTAAAGGACTTACTTTAGCTTAGTCTGTCTTCCCAAAACACTCTAGCCGTGTTTGATCTGATAGTTGCAGACCTGCTAGTCAGGCTTCGGGGTGGTATGATGGGTCGTTCTGCTGCCTCACAGCTCCTGTGTTCGATTTCAGTCTGGCTACCTTAGGAGCATCAGAAGGAAGTAAGTATTTTGGCCAGTGAGGAGACCCGCTTACTGTATACCTAAATTAGGCTTAATGAAGCGTTTGTTAATAATAACTGCTGCAATCTATATGTTTTTACTTGAAGTCGATTTCCTGAATGACTGTTCATCAGGTGGAAGTGTGAATTGGGTTGCCGTGGAATTTCATCCGTGTTAAAAACTGACAGAACATGGCTTTCAATATACGTTAACAGCACAGTTCCTCAGTGACTAGATCTCTTTATTTAAAGAAGCTGTGTTCACATACGGTAGATCCTCTCTGAAGCAGATGTGCAGATAGATATGAATTGTGAGAATGCAAATATTCATTAGCTCTGGCTGATGCACAGCGCTAGAAGGCAGAACCTTCGGTGTTTGATTGCTCTTAGGCAACACCATAACCCAGAAAAGTGTATCTTGTTAAGACAGCTTGAGAAATACCATGCAAAACTATTGATAAACATTCTCCTTGAAGGGGATAGTTTGGATACATTTCGTGCTAAAAAGTATTCCATGCAATCAGTTTTTAAAGAGGTTTATTTTTTCAAGTTAAAACCATGACCTTTACTGTAGGACATTATCTGAAGGACTAGCCCTGACATGAACGATTGAAATGCTATCCCTATAACATTTTCTTTTGGGGGGGAGGGATGGCAAAAGATGCATGCTGTTACGGCAATTTATATATTCATGGCATACAGCAATTTAATAACACATCTCACATTTTTCTTTAATATAATTTATCCGTGGTGACCTCCCTGCCTTTTGTGTAATACCAATGAATTGTTCTTTCTAAAGAGTAATAGGAAATCACTAAGAAATACCAAACTACCATACTGTAATAGATAAATCAAATTCAGGCTTGCTAGTTTATTGAATCTAAATTGTGCCCAGTTGGCCCAAGAGCTATATATAAGCCATCCATCTTCTGTTGATAATGGAGATTCTTGAAATCCACCTGATGTTTGCATTATTAAATTTCACTCTAATGAGCTCTGCTAATACATTTTGAAGATGGTTGTAAAGAGTAGAATGTGGTTTGAAGCGGGATAATTTGAATGAAACATTAGCCTAGCATTTCACATGACTCAAGGGGTATATCTACAATTACACATATAATCAAAATTGGATTTCAATGGAATTTCTATTATCCTTGTCCTTCCAGCATGGAGAGAATGAAGTGTAAATGAAGTATAAGTCTTTACCATTTCTAATAGTTTGTTTTTATTACTTAATCAAATAGTCTTCCTGCAAAGTACACCAGGATCAAACTGGCACCTGTACAAAACACTTTATTAAAAGGTATGGCAGCTAAACTTAAAATGTAGCCTTCAAATAATATTTTTACATTGAATTAGCTTGCCTTTAATTCCCATTAAACATGCCTTCATTGCCACATACTAATATGTTATAATATATATTAATATGTAAAACCACAGATTTTCTCAGAGTTGGTGAGAGCAGCATACGGGTTTGATTTGTTCAAAAGGCCGAAGCAGAAATGGATTTGAGGATGTTTCACCAAAACTAAAAAAGCAAAATTAGGATTTATCAAAATGTGTGCTATGGGGACGTGTCTCATTCACAGGGAATGCAACTGAAGTAAGTGAAAGAAGGAGCAGGCCCTGTGACCCATTGTGCTGTGCTTTGCACATCGACCTGGAAATCAAATTTGAATTTAAGGTTAATCAGAATAGTGAAGTGTAACTGGTATAATGGGGTTTGGAAAACTCATTTTTTTAAGCTATTGAACAGATATTAATTTCAGTTTTTCAGATTGTGTGTTACATCCCTAGCTCTCTGTCTGCCACTGTTTTTTTTCCCTTTTTTTCTAGGAGAAGTGAAAGTTTAATTTTTTTTTCAAACCACATGCCGGTGGAATGTCCTTGAAATCTAGAAATTCTCTAAAAATTCACTTAAAAGTGTTATTGTTGAAAAAGGACATGTCAGCCAGTTCAACCACAGGCTGTCTTTGCAAATTCACCCAAGACATATTGACAGAAAAGCTCAAGAAACCATTGCTCTGCATTCTTTGAACTCTAGACAGCTGTTACACCCATTGGTAGCTCCAGTACATTAAAGCAACAGTTGGAACATTATATTTCATTTGTCTCCCTTATTGTGCATGAACTTCTTGATTTTCCCCTCCTGGCCCAGGTAGTTTTAAGTGGCTTACAGTTCTGCCTTTTAAAGTTTAAACTCATTAAGTATAATGTAATTAGAGACTCAATTCCACATAGTTCAGTCATCAGGCAATAAGATAGCAATAAAGGAAAATGGCTCCTCAGAGACATTAATGCTTTGGAATAAATGATGTGCTAGAACAGAAATTTAATTAATTTACAGGATATATTGATAGTCCCTACATACTTTGCTTTATATTTTAAATCTTCTTTAACATATTTATTATTCAGGGGGAGAAGCAGTGTAAAAACTAAACAGTGAAAATTAATAGCCAAAAAATATGTTCTCAAATGTTTCTCAGCGCTCAAATTTCTTTAAAGAATTAAATTACACTACATTCAACAATAAACCACTTTCGAGTCAGCATCTGCAGTGCCAGTCCATGAAAGTTACATGGTTGTTTTTAAAAGGTATTCCATTAATCCTGCAACCACTTCAATAAAACTAATGGGAAAACGGGCACAAGATGGAATTGTTTGCTGATCTTTGTCCCTAAGTTTATCCTTTTCATATCTGACTAGTAACATTATCCTTTGACAGACTGCTTCCTCCTTTGTTTTTTTGGAACATAAAATATACAAAATCAGCATTGAAAACAGGGCCAAAGAGTCTAAACCACTGATCTAAATGTAAAATAAATAAAATCAGTAGTAAAACAAGGTGAAAAATGAAAGAATAGAGTTGGGTGCAAGCCTTTTCCTTGCTGATAGACTTCTCCATGCCTGTACACTGAGGCTGAGTCTGGGAGAGCCCTGCTAAATAATACAGTTTTCCAAATAGTAAAAGGGCGACCAGAGATGACAGCCAGTGATTGCCAAAGAGGGTGATTTGTTTTGTGGGCTCATTTCCGTTCCAGGAGATTTATTATTGAGTTTTTGGAAATTACAATGCTAGCAATGTTTTAGAATGTAAAAGTGCACTCACATTTAGATTTGCTCTTAAAATTACTTTTTTCTGTCTCGCAGTAAGCTCATGACACTTGCCATAAACAGGAATCAGTATGCCACCGTTTAAATCTATTAACTGGTGTAAATCTATTTTCTATACCCAAACTGAGTAAAGGAATTACCCTTTGATTGACTTTTTCTTTATAAATGAAACAATAGGGGAATTTTTTGTTGTACCATATACATTATTATATACTCTATATAATAGAATTATCTATAGTTCTCTATAAAACGTATACTTTTGTGACATGGAATGATTAATTTTAATATCAACAAAATGCCATTATATATCTTTGCTTTTATTTTCTTGTTTTAATTTTAATTGCTCTTGGGCTCCCTTAATGAGGTGAAGCTGACGGTTTTAAAAGCTTTCTTAATTGTTGATGCTTGCTGGGATCTGTTGCTGCTGTTCCAAATTCCTCTTAAATTCGTGAGAAATTTAAAGAAGCGCTACGAGGTTAACAATAAGTGCATATGTTCTGCATATATTCATTCCAGTTTTCATAATGTTGTGGGTTGCATGACTTACAAGGGTTCTGTTGCCTTCCAGAAAATAGGCACTTTGAAAAAATCAGGAATGCAAACATACACATTTAAAATGCTTGTAGCATTTACTCTGATTCACAGATCAGAACTCTCCAATTCCTCTTCAAGATGACAAAATCTGTTACTGGTGAATTGCAGGTGAAATTCTGTTTTATTGGGATGATAGGGGAAGTTTGACTAAGGTTTTGTATGCCCCTGAAAATAAAACAAGCTGGTGGACCATATCCAGAGTGGAAGTAGTCAAAAGACAGAGGCATTTAGTCTGATCTTTTTCTATTGCAGCCAAAACAGATGAAGTATTAAAGGCAAAGGAAAAGAAAGACGAGGAGGCCAGGAGGAAGAAAGAAGAAGGTAATGTATCAATTATGGTATCAGGAGTGAGGTGGGAGTGTGGCTTGCTGTAATGTTTGGCACATAATTAAGCTTATCTTGTGACGCTTTGAATTTCAGTGCAATGAAGGAGATAGAGACAGACAACAAAGGTGTTAACAACAATGTGCTGTGATGTTGAAAGTTAACAACACCAGTTTTATTCCTTTTTAGCTCCTCATAGTGGTTTTTAAAAAAATGCGGTTGTTCATAAACAGAAATGAAAATACATGGAAGCCATCCAGATGGAGCCTTTTGTATTAAGTGTAATAATACAACGTTTAACATAAAACTTTACCTTGAAGATTTTAATTAGTTTTGTTGTTCCTTCATTTTTAATCTTGCTGTTGTTCAGTCAGAATCTGAAATGCATGAAGTACCAAAAATTAGTTAAACACAGCCTAGTGTGTTAGGTTTAATATACAAATATGCAACTTGTTCTCACTTATGATATTCCTCATGGTTCCACTGTCAGTTTCTGCTTTTAAATATGTCCTTGATCAGGCATTTCTTTTAAGGATTTTACTTGAAATGATTTCCTTATTATTTGTAGGATTGATTAGTGCTGTATATGCTGATATGTGATTTTGTTACTACAGTTATTATTAAGCCAACACTTTTAATTGTAAAGTGACTTACATTCCAACTCATTTTGTGTAGTTAAATGTGGGCATTTTATTGTCCCCGAGCAATCTAAGTGAAACACCTTGCTCAAAGGTACAAAAGCATTGCTCCACCTGGGATTTGAACATTAGACCTTTCAGTTATGAGCCCAGAGCCCTAGTCACTACTCCACATTGTTGCTTATGCTTCATGTTGTAATGGAGTACTTCAGAATATATCTTCTGTTACTGTTGCAGAAAAGCCTGAGCAAGATACAGTATATGGTTCAAAACTGCTGTATTTCTTTGAAAGTTTCCAGAACGGAAGGCAGTTAAAAAGCCCTGAGTCTATGATTATGCATATGTTTCAGAAGTCATACTCTACTTAGTTTCTTTACAGATGGTCAGTATTTATGTAAAAGAAATGGGACGTTGCTTTCTCTTTATATTCTCGGTCAGAACTTTTTGTTTTGAGTATTGTTTTTGCAGATTTCAGGTAGTGCACAAAGATTATAATTGGAAGTTCCATTTTCCAATGCATGTTGTATCCCACTGACTAGCCTCGTTTTGCCCATGTGAGGTCGGTACGTTTTCTCACAACAACCTTTAACAGTCCCGGTTCAGGGCATGGGTCAGTGGTCTTATGAATGCAAGCACTTGGGTGTCTGTCTGAGGCCATGATTGACGAACAAGCTCCAGATGTATGGTGCTTGTCAACCATTGTAAGAGATCTGATGATCCTCAGTACTGTTGGCTTCCTCTGGGGAGTTCTGACCTTTTCCCTGCTGGCAGCATTGATGATGAAGGTGGTAACCAATCCACTTTCTGTCACACTCATCCCACTGACTCCTTCTCCCTGCGCCTTGAAAAGAGCAGCCTACCTGTCTGGACACTGCAGTTTCTGTGCGGAGGGACCTCAAGACACTGATTGATATCATAAGACTCTACACATTGATAGTTCTGGCCAGGCCTTTACATGGTTTCTCTGGATTATGGTGTTTCTGCTTTCTTTACTGTCTCAGGTGCAGACAAAGAAGTTTTCTCTTTTCATTGCCCACAAATCTCCCATCTTGAATCGATATGCAAGGGAGGACTCCTGTATTATGAACCTAGGAGGAAATTATACACTTTACTACATATCTGTTGCTGGAAATTCACCCTGTGAATAAACATATATGTACACGCTTCACAGGTCAAACATTTTTGCCTACCTAATTTCTACCTTGTTTCTCACTTCTCTGTCTGATCTGCAGTGTAGTGGGGGAGCTGGTACAGAATGGTTGACGTGTGTCAACCAGGTGGCTGCTGCAGTTCAACAAGTGAGGTCCTACCTACAGTCTTCTTTGGGATCTTTAGAAACGAAAAGTCTTCTATAAATGCATAGAACTCATATAATTAAAAAATGTAATCTGTAGCCTTCAAAAGCTATTTATTTCTTTCTGAAAAATATTCTTTTGTGTCAATGTCAAAGAATTGTGAATAATATTTTAAAATAGGTCTGGCATGAGTGTATGTGAACATTGTTAATTGTCCACTCTGCAGTTTACGTCTAGCAGGACAGTTAGGTGTGGTATTCTTTCCCAAAACCTCCTTGAGTTTTTCAGATGATTCCTTCTAGTTTAAAACCAAACCACCAGGAATTAATTACTCCACTGCTCTCCTCTGCTCTTGTGGTAAAGGGAGGAAATTATAAAACTTTTCTGAACAGTAGAAATGCTGCCAAAGCACTGAGGGAGTGTGTCATTCCTGGCTACAGCTTTCAGCTCCTAGTCAGGTAAGTTTCTGATGTAAATTTCTTTCTGTAATCTCTGCCCTGGAATTGGTTGATTTTGTAAATGGGTTTTTTCTTTATAATTTCGGCTCATATACAGTATAGGAGATAGAGCTTGATGTTGTGGATGGCTAAAAACAGCTCATTGCTTCTTAAAATTAGAGCTGTCTGTGTTTTTTAACTAGGTGGCTGCAAGAAGGTATGGATGCTATATAGCTGCATGGAAAACATAAGAACAACAATGATGGCGATACTGTAGCGCTGAATAAAATTGAATGCTTATAGGCTTGAAGCAGGCAAGCCATAACCCTACTGTATAAGGGAGTTGTAGCAATACAGAAGGGTGTATTCTTATATCTTTGAAACAGAAATAGGGGGATAATCAGATGAAAGGGGCTACATGGTGTTTGTCATTGATTGAGACTTTGATTCCTCTTTGATTCTTTGCTGTCCCTCTCATATAAGGGATTCTTTGTGGTTAACTCCAACTTTGTTTTCAGGAATGAGGAGAGCATTTATTGAAATGTGGTATAGATATTGACTGGCATGTGCAGTTAAAGTCAAATAGTTGTAGCAGTGGAACATATACTGTAGTGAGAAACCTCTCAACTTTGTCAGCTTCATGGTAGTCAGTTGAACTTCAAGCTAAGCTCACTTTCTTAATAAATGCTACCATTGGCATGTAGTTTTATATATTTAAAATCGTTCTCTTGTCAGTGTATTTTAAACCTATTTGAGCTAATGGAGTACTGGAACTTTCACAGTTTCCAAGTGCAAATAATGTTGAAAGTCAAAGCATCACAACACAATTGTTTACCTGTTCTTCATTTACCATTTATGGACAGAGCTGAGACGAACACTCTCAAGGTTGTGACATCCTTTTGTGTGTGTGGAGTTCTTCCTACATAGACTGAGGCCTTGAGAGCCCATTACACTGGCACCATTAGAGTGAAATGAAAGAGATATGTTGTGTTTGGCTTGTAACACACTGCGGCACTTTCTGACATACAAAGCAGCAGTAAATTTAAATCTAAAGGAAATTTGTGCATCTTTTATCTAAAACTTTTATGACTGGAGAATTTAAAAGCCTTTAGATAAATACAATTCTAAAAAAGGAACAAAAAAAGATCAGTTGAATCTGTACAGAAGAAGCTCTCTTTATACACTACTTGCACTCTTGGGTAATTATTTAAAAAAATGTAATTCAGATATTCTTTTGTATGCAAAGATCAAACCCTTGTTTCCTTAAGACTTTTAATATTCTTTGTATTGCTGGCTTTACAGAAGTGATTATCAGTGGAGTATTCAACATTGAAAATGGTGTCAAATACATCAGTATAATTTTATTTTGAAATTTTAAGCCTTTATAAAAATGACACAAAATAGCTTAGTTCTTAATTCTCATAAAGGCAACACATTTCTTATAATTAAGTACATTTCTAAACAAATAATCTTCTTAAGAAACCACTGGCTTAAATCCACAGTAGAACAAGTTAGGAATTACTGGCTTTACAGACCTCATATGTCCCTGAAAATGTGCCCACAGTCTTGCATTGGAATTGCTGCAATTTATTTTAATGAGAGAAATAATGATTTTTTAACTCATATTCTGAGAGATAAACAAGGCCATAAATAGTTTTAAGGCTGAGAAAGCGATCTTTTAGCATTTTTTAAAAAAAATGTTTTTTAATTACAGTGTCTGTACAAGAGGTCATAGGTTCAATTTGTGCCCGTTTATATTTCAGTTTGCAAATTATGTGACCATTATATGTGCAGTTTAGCATTTCGTCTTCTCATCCTTGCATGTTATTTGCACCTAATCATGTTTTAACTAGCTGTGTTGTCAATCACAGAAGAAGCTGCCTTAAAATCTACAGTATAGAGATTATACTGTATTTTGGTTTTATTCTTAATATTAGTGAACAGTAGTTAACAGCACCACACATTTAATTTGTTTTCTATCTAATTAGGGCTATGGCTAGCTTTACAGTGGTGAGATTAATTTTACACCGTTTACATTAATAGGTTTTAAATTATGGCATAATTTATAATTATTTTAACATATAATTATTTAATAAAAAGGTTATTCTGAGCTAAAGTGACAAAAAGGGACAGATACTGTTGCCAGGAGCATTCATTCATTTACTTGTTTAGCTAGGTTTTCAAACTGTGGCTTAATCTTTTTAAGACTTAATTTGCCAATTTATGACATATTCGTTTTTGAAGTTAGCATGATTTCAGGTGTTACAAAATTATTGGTTGCTTGTTTGGATAGTGACCGTACTGTAATAGCCTGCAACCTTGCAGTAGTTTTCTTGTTTTACTTTTGTTTTATTTTTATTACAGAACAGGGTAGAATCTGGACATTGATGCTAAATGTAATCTGCTCAGAAATCAAATTATTTGACCTCCAAGCCCAACAATACAAACTCCTGCTGGACTGCTGTTAAATATTTAGCACTTTCCTGTCATGAATACAAATGGAGGACAAATTAGAATCTACAGGCGACTGACCTGAGTATCAGATTCGAGACCAGGGGCTCATACTGCTTTAAATGTTTTAATTACCACAGTCCCTACTGCCACTTGAAGGACAAGCAAAGAAATTT